CACAATATGAGCATAAAGAAACCGAAAGCATAAAGAAATCATAGAACTACAACTTTACTGAAAGGACCAAAAAGCTTCTTCCCTTTTATGGCAGAATTATTAGGATCAGGAACAGCCCCATCCACGCTACACAAATCACCATCCGATAGAGGTGCCATAAGAGAAACCATGGGTTCGATTTATGGTCATCGATCGAGAACGATCTCCCAAGTTTCAACAGAGTTCTAGTCACAAATTTAGGAAGGAAAGCAGTACCGAATCAGCCACTATTTCAGGCCTGATCATACCCAAGATTAACCCCCTAAATCCTTAGAAGCAAACCCCCAGAAATCACCCAAGAGAAAGAAAAAGACAGACTCTACACACGAAGGAGAGACCCGGACGAACAGAGAGCAGAGACGGGAGAAAGAGAGAGAAAACCTAATTAAGACCAAGGATCAAAACCAAGGAAATATCTCAACCAAGAATAGATCTCAAACGTCCATCTCATCCAACGGTCCTAATAAAACCAAACTAGCACAATCCGTATAACAACTAAGCTACCAATAGGCAAATGACACCTAAGCAGCTGGGTCAAAATAATGCAAACAATGCAAATGACACAAATAACACTAGTCCAAATAGAGTTAGGAGAACCACGATTCTCACAATTTTGACTTATTATCTGGCTCTCCTATCGAGGCTATTGTAATATAATCATCTCGCGAAGCGAGGATCGGTGTAACAATGTTCTTGGAGGGCGAGGTAGCCATGAGCTAGGACTTGTAATTAGTGTTTGGCTTCAACACGAGTGATAATCACGAGCTAAGGCTCAAAGGAATTATAGACGTCTCAAATAAACAATGACTTGCAATTGAATTTTGGCTTCGACATCAAAGATAATCACAAGACGATGCTTGGAAGATTTATGAACTACTGAGGCAGTGATACATTTGTTCGAGGCACCATTCCTAAGAATAAGAGGTGAAGGCTTGTCTAGAAGGTTATGTTATGACGGCTGTCCAACGTGATTGTGAGTGTTAAAATTGGCATGACAGCTTGCATCTGCAAATACCAGGACCTTGGAAGATGCACCAAGCAACACACAGCCATTAAATTGGTGCATTGAACAGTATACAACAAATTTAAAGCGTGTGTGAGGCACGATAAGCTTCTCGATCTTGATCGTCCATCTCATCACTAACATTTATGTCGATGAAATTAAATGACGTGTCAATGTGATTCCCAAAAGGAATGAACTTCTCTAACGTGGCTAATTTACTAGACAAATAGAAGAAAAGACTACGTAACTAAAAGGCCCGCAATCAGCATGAGGAAAGCAATCAAGTTGAAATTTCTTCCAAGTCATGCACATGCTAAATTTGTTCTTCGGCTTTCATGCTTGGGCTCATATCAGGACCCTTCGGCTTAATTAGGCAGGAAGTCTGTTCCAAGGGTCCAAAAAATATAGGGTCTCTAAGAAATGTATGGACCAATTATTTTTATAATATAATTTTGGATGAAGTTATTAGTGGTCAAAATAATTTTTCGAGGCCCATAAAATGAGGTCAAAAATGTTAAGGGATAAAAATCTTATATTGAATAAAGATGAAAATATAGACTAATTTATAAGAATTTGGGCTACTCCTCTTAATAAAAGTTGACCTTTTAAGATGAAATCTCAAATCTGAACATGGTATCAGAACTCGTTAAGCTTCAACGAACAATTTGATCCGATTAAGATAAAAAAAATTGAGTACACGAATTTCAAGATTGATCTGTTCAAATGAGCCACCATCTTGCGGGGGCATGTTAAGGGATAAAAATGCCACATCGAATAAAAATGAAAACATAAACTAATTTATAAAAGTTTGTGCTACTCCTCTTAATAAGATTGACCTTTTAATAATGGAACTCCAAATCTTAACAAAAAAATCTTCTTTCAACCCAAACATGACTGCGGCCCTGTCTTCAAAATTCATAAATTATACATACCCTTAAAAATCAAAATTCATGCAAGCCCTTCTAGCCTCTCCATTCCTTTAAAATTCACGACCAGCTTCCACATTCCTACAAATTTCAAATCATCATCAATGAGAAATCTTAATGGAAAAATTAAATTTCTCTATTCTGCAATGTGGTTCTTCAATCTGAAAAAGTAGGAAATTATCTCTTACTTGAGTCACATCGCCAGAGCTAGCCGTTGGTTGCCTAGAGCTAAACTGGCCAGCCAATTTTTCTTTTTATTGAATAAATAATAATGCTTGATGGGCTGTGATGCCAATTTAAAGTGGTTCAGTCCATTAGACTATGATGAAATTGGGCTAAGCCCACTTGGGGGTATTAAATTGGCCATTGCCCGATAACTTAAAATGGAATAGGCCCAAGCCTGAGCCCAATTATGGATGACACGTGTGTTGTTCTGGATCGTTGATCACTTGTTGAGATCTACGGTGATGAACCTGAGTGGTTGCCCTAATCAGTTTTTTCATCTAATTTATGCGAGAAGCTTCTGGAGTTTCTCTCTAAGTCTCTTCTCATTCTCTCTTTTCGTCTACTGTGTGTTACCCTAAAAAACTTCTGGTTTTTAGGGGTTGAATCTAAGTGATTTGAGGGTTGATGGTATTTTATTGATCGTTTGTGTTCTTGAGTATTTTTATTCTATTTCGAGTTGTATCAATGCTATTTTGAATCTTAATAGATTGTTAACTTTTTGCCGTTCAAAGATAAAAAAAATTCTCAAAAATTGATCAGGTTTTATTGTTCCTTAATTAATATTAAATTTAATCGTATTTGGTATTTGGATGGATTTATTATGTCTACTAGAAAGTATTTGCTGGAAAAGAAAAAGGAAAGAATTAAAAACTCAAAATTTTATTATAATAATAATTTTATGATAGAAATTCTGTTGCAATTTGTTGCTTAACTTGTAATGATAAGTATATTGGAATAATTATACAAATATACGAGTGTTTCGAGCATTTATGAAAACATCAAATTCAAAATGATAAGAAAAAATGAAGGGGATCGTAAAATGGCTTGAGCGATCGCCCAACCTTATCTTTGGCCATCCGAGAGTTTTTGGGTGGTGTGGGTGATCACCCGATTTTATACTCGATCGCTTAGTTCAAAAAACAGTTTGATTTTCTGGTCCATTTTTTAATGTATTTTCATGAAAAAAAAAACTCATCTTTTTATGTACCATTGAGGTCTTTTTGTGGTATATGAATGATAATTTATAGATAGGAGATATATTTGATTCTTAAACATAATAAAAAAAACAACCAATACTTGAAATCGTTCCATATTGAAAGAGTTTTTGCAAATTCTATGTACTTATTCATTTTTCAAAGTGTTCTTTAAATTCTAGGAAGAAAGTACGTGTTTAAGTGTTTCTCTTCTTCTAGGCTCGTTAAATCCTATAAATCATTTGCCGTGAATCCTTTAAACCATCAAAATCAATCATAGAGGGAGCAAATTTAGTTTGAGGATAGTGATTATGTATTCAAGCCTTTTTTTTTTTTTTTTTGGTGT